ACTTCATGCTTCAATTCCAGATCTTTCCCTTGATGAGTCTTATCCATTGTTAGTTTGCTAATATATGGTATTATTATCTCTAGGAAATACTCAAAAAGGAGTCGAACGCACAAGTGTCAATATCCAAATGTAAATTACAACCTCAACACATTTAAGCTCTTTCGGTTTCTCAGAAATCTGTCGGGGAACCCCTTTACTATTCTTGAATAAATTAAAAAATCTATAACGCCAGAACCAACACTAAAGTTTTACGATGTAGTTTTGATAGTTTGTGTAATAGAACAACAGAGCTGATAATAACTGCGTCAAAACAGTCTTTCAAAAGATCAATGGCAACCATTCTTTTCAGCGAAGAGATCCTCTTTAACTTATATCGAATCTAATTACAGATGAATAAGGAGAGAACATAACAGTTTTTTTTTTCAACAGTTCGGGCCATAACCATTTCTGGATATCGGTTTCGAGCTTTGTGATTGGGTGAGATCAAGACCAAAACAAAGCAAATTTGGCCGAGAGGTGCTGGAAACAATAAGACGCTGATTTTTTTTTTTTTTTTTTTTTTTGTCGCGGCCATGTTGTAATGCGGTAGTAAGCTGAAACAAAATTTGCTAATAAGGACTGGACGTAAGGTACCATTAAAAATATTCGTTTATTTCAAACATTCAACATGCATGTCCTCGACATTCTCGCATTCTGGAAGAGTAAAGCGGATTCTTTCTAGCACAAATTCTTTGTAACGCCGTGGTCCTTCCACCAAGAGCGTCACAGGAATAAAAGCTCCTCCGCCAGCCTGTTTGTATCTGGAGAACTTCTGGGTAGAGCTTGGCCTCGATGTTTCTGTCCGTTCTCCATTGATTTCCCTATTTTGGGTTACAAGAAAACCAATTAAATAAGGTTGAACCAAATAACGCGCACTGATAACAATTGGGACGAGTGAGGTGTGAGATCGCGGAATCGGGACAATTTCATTTCTCTCCAGTATAGGTCGAGGAAAGACAATATCTTGCTTCTTTCCGATTTTTAAATAGACATTATCAATTTCAGTCCAGCAAGCCTTTACGAAAAAGTAACAGTAAAGCAAGAAAACAGTAACTTACCCTTCAATTCCTGGTTATTTTGCCACATCGAAGCAAAGCATGCAGCTGTATGTTTAGAAAGTGCTGAACCGTGCCGGTCTGCTGCCCTTTGACATCTCCTAAAGTGTATGTCTTTCTCTGCGATTTGCTGAAAATCTGGACTTCTCGTAGAGCCTCTGGAATGCGTTCCATTTCTCGTGGAAGAAGACAAGCCAGTGCATGCGAGTCATACGTGTCGTCGTCTTCACTTTGAATAACAAGCGGTGTTCCACGTGGAGCTTTAATCTTGAAATTATGATACCTGGAAAATAAACGCCAATAAATACATGAGTGGGATAAAATAAAATCAAGTAGTCACAATCTATATTAAGACGAATACACATGATCGAATTCAATGCAAGAGAATCATACAAGGTATTTTGCGCGCTATTGATCGATTCGCGGGAGAATCTAGGTCTCAGAACACTACAAATTCGGTCCTACAGCTTTTAGTCAGCAATAATATGTCCTTTACAATTACCCTTTGATTTGAACGCCCTGTATAGAAAGTTTGTTTAGGTAATCACTGCAAAATGTGAAAGCACGAGCGGTGTTTCTAAACGAGTTTCACAATTACAGACAAGTCCCTTGTGGTTTTAGACGAAAATTTCACTCTGATCAGTTCGTGTAGTTAAACTCTAACCTTTGTTTCCGGAATGTTGTAATAGAGACACTTCTGCAAGGCTTTCCACCAATGTGATTTCTTTATTTTCATCTTCATGCCGCTCTTATCGCACATTTCCCGGATACGATACTTAAAGATGTGAGAGCTCAGTGAACGAATACCTCTTTGTTTTATGTTTGCCCGAAGGAGAACTTACTCGCTGGATAATCACATTTATGTGTTAGATCCGTGGTTTCCTGAAATTATTTTTTAGTGTGCATTCGCCTTGGCTGAATCAATCTCTCTGATGTCAAGATCAACATTGATTCGAAATTTCATCCAGAGTTCCGATTTAAAAGATTCGGATCAATATTTGTTTCTGGGCAACCGAGCTCGAAATAGGTGACTCGAGCTCGAAAGCCTATCCGAGCTCGAGTCACAACTCGACTAGAAGGATCCTGAGCAACCGAGCTCGACATAAGTGACTCGAACTCGAAAGCCTACCCGAGCTCGAGTCACAACCTTTGTAATCGAGCTCGAATCAAATCGAGCTCGATTTGGTAATCGCGCTCGAATCAAATCGAGCTCGCGTCCAACCGAGCTGAATAATATTTGTTCCCGGGCAACTGAGCTCGATATATATTTTTCTGGCAGGGGGAGGGGGGGGGGGGAAGTGCAGACCATGCTCGATATAAGACTCTTTTCCCAGAGTATAAATAGGTAGAGATCTGTGTGGTGGGGCAACTGCAGGCTTAAACGATGGGTCGACCAGGGTTGTTGGGTTTGTGATTTTTTGGTTAAAAGGAAAAAAGAAATGTGCACTGTTTGAAGATTTGTGATGATTAAATTTGTAGCAGTTTTTGTTTTGCTAGAAGGCCGTTCGCAATGCTTTGGATATTTTTTGTTCTCTGTAGGTGAGATTTTTTTTAAAGTTTTGCATAAAAATAGGTTTCAAAAAGTTGACGCTTCTCTTTTGTTGAGGTCGGCCCGCCAAACGACCACAGCGCCGGCTTTGTCGACCGCTTTAATAACTATTTTTTGGCATTTTATAAGACTTTAAGCGCCGCCCAAGAGATGTTGAAAATTTTGTTGTTCCGATTGAAATTGCATGACTGCATATGCACCAGACTATTTGAAAACAGAGGAGATATCTCGCAGGACAACTCGTAGCTCTCGCCTTCTAAACATCCTACTTTTTAAAACAGCATTTGGACAGAGAACAATTAATTATTGAATAGGTTCCTCATGCAACCAGTTGGACGATTCTTTTAAACTTTGTTACTCAATCTAGATTTTAAAAGCAGATTAAGAAGTCAGCACCTGGAACGGTTCTTGCGGTCCTAGTCCTTAAGCTTGCAATCACCAGCTTTTTAGACATCTAGATCTAAAATTTTTACATTATACATTGAATTAAAGCTTGCAACAACCAAATTTTTAATGTTAAACTCTAACCACCAGATTTACATGTAAGATTAAAATTGTCCATTTTTTTAAAGTAACTTAAAACATGATGAGGGGGGAGGATGAAGTGCAGATCATGCTCGATATAAGACTATCAAGGGGAAGAGATAATAATAAAAACTATGGTGAAGAGAAAAATTCAAAAATATATTTGGTTTTTCCTGTTTCAAAGTTAGCGAGGACATGATTTCTAGTCATGTGCCTAGTATGGGAGGGGAAAAAGAATAAGGGGGGGAGAGGGGGTGGTGGAGGCGGGTAAAGGGAAGGGGGGTTTGAAATGGTGACTTCTTGAATTGAAAAGGACTTCTGTATGTCTATAGCTTGCGTGAATGAATGGTTTTTCGTTCAATTAAGATTTATGCGGCCGAGCGTTAGTTTATTCCTTCACATTCTCTCCGTTACTTCGCCGCTCATTCGCGCGGTTCTGTCACCCAAAACTCCCACAAGAGTGTAAGTTATGCAAGCTTCGTCATTCCTATATCCTTAGTTTGTTTTTCATGGTCAGGAAGCCTATAGATCTGCTCAGAGACAAAGCTTTACATTCAGTTAAAAAAAAAGGTTACATAGCTTAGGCCAGACTGATATGTCTCCATGTGATTTCTCTTTTCCCAGAGTATAAATAGGTAGAGATCTGTTTGGTGGGGCAACTGCAGGCTTAAACGATGGGTCGACCAGGGTTTTTGGGTTTGTGATTTTTTGGTTAAAAGGAAAAAAAATGCGCCCTGTTTGAAGATTTGTGATGATTAAATTTGTGGCAGTTCTTGTTTTGCTAGAAGGTTGTCACAGTGCTTTGGACAGTTTTTGTTCTCTGTAGGTGAGATTTTTTTAAAGTTTTGCATAAAAATAGGTTTCAAAAAGTTGACGCTTCTCTTTTGTTGAGGTCGGCCCGCCAAACGACCACAGCGCCGGCTTTGTCGACCGCTTTAATAACTATTTTTTGGCATTTTATAAGACTTTAAGCGCCGCCCAAGAGATGTTGAAAATTTTGTTGTTCCGATTGAAATTGCATGACTGCATATGCACCAGACTATTTGAAAACAGAGGAGATATCTCGCAGGACAACTCGTAGCTCTCGCCTTCTAAACATCCTACTTTTTAAAACAGCATTTGGACAGAGAACAATTAATTATTGAATGGTTTCCTCATGCAACCAGTTGAACGATTCTTTTAAACTTTGTTACTCAATCTAGGTTTTAAACACAGATTAAGAAGTCTAAAATTTTTACATTGTATATTGAATTAAAGCTTGCAACAACCAAATTTTTAATGTTAAACTCTAACCACCAGATTTACATGTAAGATTCAAATTGTCCATTTTTTTAAAGTTACTTAAAACATGATGTTATTGATTTTCAATTGTATAATTGTCTCTATAAAACTCTCTTAGGGATGTGTCACTGAAGTTAATTGTTTATTGTTCATTGACTTGAAACTATCTTTGTTCGAGTTGTTAAAGTCCTCATTTGGCTGAACCAAACCTCGAGCTCATCTTCTCTGTTCATGACCACCTTTTGTAGCTTCCTCAGAGGCTTGTCAGACAACTATGTTTTTGTTATTTTCTTAAATAAAATAGCAAAATTATTCATCTCCTACCTGCTATTACTAAACTGTTTGCATTATCTCATTCTCGGGGGCGTGACATGGTCATTTGCGCTAATTGGCATAACGGAAATGCGACATTATATCACCATGGTGATGATTCCCAAGTAAAGGTTTATTAAGAATCCATAACTTACTTGACGTGTCATTTTCATTTTGCTCCGGTGACGAAAAATTTACTGTGCGCAGTCCTTACGTCGATTTTCCGATTTATACCTACAATGTCTGGCCTAAGTTCCTTTAACGTCGCAACCGAGCCTGGAGATGTCCTGGACCAAAGCTTACTATGTCCGATATGGTAAGACTACTTTTTTCCTTTTTGAATTTGGAGTTCTGAGTCATTCGGTGTTCGAGTTTTGGCATTTCAATTTCGAGTTAAATGGAACATTGCGAGGAAGGAATTAACGAGAAACGCTCTATGAAGGCACAAATCGTTGTAGTTTTATTTGAACCTAACCCACCAGAACTTGAACTAGACTGGCAAGTATATTGTTAAAGAAAGATGTTATTCAAATTGGAACAACAACAACAATAAAAAGCTACTATCAAAAATTCTCAACAACGAAAAAAAGCTACCTGCAAAATTTCTCGGCTACTCCAAACGATTTCATCTTTTGACTATGGCACCGTTTGCTTTGACTTGTTACGCATTGCAGTTCAAATTTTTGGCACTTTTTTTTTTTTTTGCACAAACTACAATTTTTTTGTCGGTTCTGTTTCATTCCAGTAAGGAGTTGATGAATCAGCCCGTATCCATGCCTTGCGGGCACAGTGCTTGTAAGACCTGCCTTCTGGAGATGATCTCCAAACAGAGCATTGGCTCGAGACCTTGCACCTGCCCGCTCTGTCGAGCAAGGATCGAAGGGGACAAGTTAAACGTTAACGTAACAGTTAGCGCTTTGATTGGAAGGATCCAGGTGCGTTGCACTAATGTCGGCTGCTCCTGGGTTGGAATGCATAGCGAGAAGGAAACGCACATGGACACTTGCCCCTTCATGGTTATTGACTGTCCCAATGGACCTCGTGGCTGCTTGGTTAAACCAGAGAGGTATGCGCTGAACCTGCACATAGCATCCTGCCCCTTTGAAAAAGTCCCTTGTTTTCATTGCCACATAGGAGTGGAGAGATCGACACTTGCTAGCCACGAGGACAACTGCCGAGAAATTCCACGGCCCTGCCCCCTTCAGTGTGGAGAACAGTTACCAAGGTAAGTTTGTTTGACAGCCGAGGCACTCGATGCATTTCTAGTTAAGGTTACCCAAAACTAGACAGTAAGACACACTTAAAAACGTAATTCGAGATCCGAAACTAACAGCAAATTTAAGTCGATGCATAAAGCGATAGAAAGTAATTGATAGAAACGGTTAAGCGATAGATCTGAATGGTTTACGGTCGAGTCGCCCGAAGTCATGTCGCCCGGAACCTGTGTCGTGTTGCCCGAAAAAATTCGGCGGCCGTAGAATCAAATAATTTAAAAGATCAGATTTTCAGACTTTAATTAGACAATTAAACGAGAAATCTTTTTTATTAAAGCGCCATTTGTTTCCGACAACACCATGAAGATTCTAAAACCATTGTTCGTTTCTAACAACAAAATGAAGCGGTTTTTTTTTTTCACTCGTTTCGTACCACAGACTTTCTGTAAAAGCTTGAGAAACTTTATCTTTGTTTATGACATTGCCATGAAGACTTCGACTGCACAGAAATCGATCGTTTGTTCAGAACTGAGATATGTTTGAGTAACGATTCGGAAAGCGTTGTTCCTTTCTTACAACAAAAGGAAGCGTTGTTCGTTTCTATAGCAACAAAATGCAGCACACAGGCCTTTCGTACTCTGTTGATTCGTACCCAGTGGGAATCGTTTCGTTCCCAACCCGCTAGTAGATTGGCACTCAGCTGTTCAGAAACGTCGCTTACTTCACTCAACCTAAGATTGCGAATTATTAAAGCGTTAAACCAGAGAGAACTATCGATCCCTGATAACCGTAGTTGTAAACTAGCGAGAAAAATCGTTAAGTAGTTCTAAAGTGAACTGAGTCCTACACCGAAAGGGAAATGATACTATCAGACTACTATTGTTAAAAAAAAAACAGTCACAAGCTTAAACAATAGAATATTGTTAAAAAAAAACCACACTTACCTTACGCAAGGTAGTAAGTTATTTGTTACGAAGTTCGCAAATAGATACAGCAGAACTTTATTTGCATGTTACTCGCTTGACTTTTTACTAAATCGTAGCACACGATAATCGAAATTTATTTATTACGGTTTGGAGCAGCTTACGCAACGTCCATGTGCTTTATTTTTTGTTATAGAAACGAAATACGCTTCCCTTTGTTGTTAGAAAGGAACAAAGCTTTTAGGTTCGCTTCTCAAACATATTTTAATTCTGACTATATGATAGATTTCTTTGTAGTCGAGGTCTTCTTTGTTTAGTCTGTAAGTTTTTTTTTTCGGGTGACGATTGCATTATTTGACAACACAACTCAAGTTCCTGGTCATTTCTTTGTTTACTTCTTCTGGAATTTGATGTGTTATCAAATAAAAATCCGCGCGATGATGATTTTATTGTGGTGCATCGCTTGTCTGCTTTACAATGTATGAACACTAGGAAAAGGATTACTACCCAATCTTGTAACTGTAATGGCTTGATATTTAGTTGAGCAGACTGTTTGTTCAAAGTCTTTATTGATGCATTTAACTCATTTGTTCATGTTTACAGATCGCACATCCACCTGCACCTTGGCGATTGTCCACAACGTGTGGTAAAATGTACAGTAAAGGGGTGCCACAATTTTTACGCGCTTGAAGAGGAGGCGGAACACGATAAACAGTACCAAGAAAGTCACCAGGTGCTGCTGAAGCAAGAGGTGGAGAGGCTAAGAGGAATAATATTTGATCAGGTGGGTGACGTTCGTCCGATTGTAAAAAGGAGATGAATTCTCTGCGAGAAATTTCATCGGAACAAGCTGCTACAGATGTTTACCTTGATATAGTGTAACAGTTATAGTTTCAGTTTATTCTTCTGTATCATGGCTGCCGCTCTTTTTTCCTCAATGGTCTACATGGCAGAATTCTAAATTTTTAAGAAGATCTTGTTGTTTCTGTTGCTGCAGCAAACGAAGAGTGTTACGATTTACCTGGTGTGATAAACGTTGCCAATGGTTACGTTTCCGAATTCTGTCAATTGTAAAGCTTGCGAAAGGCAGTATAGTCAGTGCAGTTGTCAATTTCACTGCTTAGTTGCAGTGGCTTGCGCGCTATTGTTTACAGAGGCGGAGTTTTGCATATATTAATACACTCGCGGGAGTTTTAAAAATCGGTCAACCGTGCTTCTCGACGTAAAATTTAGGGTGGCCAAAGGTTGCTTCAAAAAAATCGGTTTTGATGGTACTTCTAAGCCTCGTACGGCAGAGAAAATTTTCACAAGCCCTCCTGAGAAATGGAAGTAACTTTTCCATATGCTGACTCTGAAGTTTCGCGAATACTTCATCGGATTTTTCAACCTGGAGATCAGCTTCCATACTCAAATGCATCTAAAATTTCTAATTTTCAAAGCGGTTTCGATAATGGTTATAGAAACCGCAGAAAACAAACTTTAGTATTAATTTGTTCATTGAAACCTCTTCTACAAAACCCATATGCCGGCAAATAGCTAAGGCAATTAGTTTTTTATCAAGAGTGAAAAACGCAGGCGCAAGTGGGCGATTTATAGCCATTTTCTCTATTTTTTCGCTCTCTTTTCTTGGAGGACGGTTCAAATTTACCGCAGATGCAATTAAAAGGTACCTGGGTGGGTCGCGGCTTCTGCGCGATGAGTACGCGGAGCGTTTTGAGGAGACATTTGACTGTATACTGACTTATACCTTGCTGACTTTTTTTAGGCTGATGAAACAGTACACAAAGTTTTAAAAATAAGAAAGAGTTTTCGTTGGGCCGTTAAAATGTCCGACCTGGCTGATGGCAAAGATGCCGCAAGTCCCTTCTTCAACGTAGAAAGAAGTACGTTGAGATTCATTTGGGCGAGAAATTCGACTCCTCAGAAGTTTATGTTGGAGCAGCTGGTCTCATCGATGCCACTCACGATCAGTTTAAGGTAGGGACAGGTTAATGTTGGTGAAGGCTTAGGCCACATTTGATGTAAGTAAAAAAATAGAACTCATCCATTTCCAAAAAAAAACTCCGTTTCACGATCTAGATTCGATGTTGTCTGTTAGCGGTACTTTTCTCTCTTGCGATTGGCTATCGATAGCGGCTTTTCTTTTTTTTTTTTTCATAATTGATAGCAAACTAAATGGCATTACGAGCCAGTTGCACTTTAGCTGTGGCAAGCTTAATAAGTTGAGGAATATTTCACAAATTAATCAGAGCTGATTCAACAGTTCCTTACTTTATTTTTTTTTTCAGAATTGCATTACTTAAAGATGAGCGGGTGCAGAAAGTGGTTGAAACACCCCGTCCAACGCTTGTAGACGAAGGGGGTGTTGTCAGTATGGACGTCGACTTCGGACAGCACCCGAATGACCAGGATTTGGAATTTAAAATAACAGTAGGCATCTACGGCCACGTATAGCTCACTCCAGGTTTTTAGTAGTTGATTATTCGCCCAAAATATTTGAAGAATTAGGATTCCAACAACGAGGTTGGCTGTACTTTTTTACGATACTTTTCACTGAAACTCCAAATTGGTTTTTCTTTGAATAGAAACTTTTTGTAAAGTTTTAAGTATGTTGTGTTTTTCAATAAAGGTCTGAATAAGTTGCAAATACTAACTGCTCTTATTTCACGGATAACCGTAAATCGCTACAAAAATGAATTCAGAGGCGGAAAAGTGGACGAGAGAAAAGCATTTTAATTGAGATTCAAAGGAGGAGGATACTAACCCTTACCCCTCCCCACCTCCCTTTCACAAAAAAAATTACGAAACTTCGTGACTAGATGATGACGCAACTTTTTGGGTCTTAACCTCTCTTCCCCTCAACCCCTCCCCCGTTAATATGAGAATAATCCAGAATATTTAAAAGAGATATGGTAAGAGATGGGACATTCATTTTATTGTTGAAACAGGTGTAAGTTAGTGTCTAACAAATGCTCTCCTTCCTTGACTTTCCCTTTCTACTACATATTTAAAGATAACATTAAAAAAAAAAATCAACAAGATGCTTTTCGAAGGAGTTGTGAACATGTTTTTGTTCCATTGTTTTGGCTATAGAAACCAAGGGCCATGGTTAGTTTTATTTAACCACATCGAAATTATTACTTGCTCCAACTTTGAGTCGACAGAAAAATAAAATTTGGCTATAGTTTTTGCAAAGAAAGAAAGACAGAAAGAAAGAAACATTCTTTTAGAAATGCGGGCTTACCGAAGTAAAATTGCTAGTGTGGTATTCATCAGAATTTGATTTGTTTGAAATGAGCCATACTTACCAGGAGGACCTATTTAGCTTTTGGATTAAAAAAAAATTGCACTTTCTCTTTGGTGTGCCGCGTGCTCAACGAAAACCGGAAAAAGGAGAACGTCCGCTCTGGAAAAGTTTAGCAGACACAGGCACGAAAAATGAGTTTTTTCTAGTTAATCGTAAGAGCGTGATCTCTCATCTCCCCCCTCCCCGTGGCTTTTTTGTATGAAAATGCCAGTAAATTTATTTCAATCCCGCGTACTATAAACTCAATAACTAGATCAGTGGAAAAAATGTGAAGTTTCTAGGATTGACTGCAAATGAAAAAATCGAAACACTCTTTTTTTTACGCGCACGATAAGAAAGTTGTCACCAGTAAGCGTTAACACGTATTACTGAATCCGCGAATTTTTACTTGTTTCGAGGTGTTTGCTCATTGTTTGCTCATACTGTTGCCGCAATATTTTACCCTGAAACGACCGTCTACTCCGATGTCACTTCAGCTAATAAAGTTACTTCTTCAATCCGTTCTGTTCTAAATAGTATATTTAAAGCGAAGTCTTGTTGGCTCGCCAGTGAAAACCTTCCACGTGGTCATCGTTTCTTTCTTTTACATCCATTGCGTTATTACACTGTGCACGTGCAGCTGCAGTCCTTACATTGTGTTTTCGTGCTTTAGTAACATTCACTGTAAAGCTACATTATGAGCTACAGCAAACGTGCTTTTCAGAGGACCGTGGTGTTATTGGAAAAGAAGAGGACTGCTGTTCCTGTGAACGCAGAAATGAGTCGGCTTATAAATGCCAGGCGGGTGATGGACATTGCCTTTACAAAAAACCACACCGCTTCTCAGATAGGCGATCTTCTTTGCGGTGCTTTTCCTTCTTTAGTTGGAAAAGACCTCGGTGGGTAAGTCTTGTTTCTCTTGTCACTCGCTTCTTCTGAACCAGTTCGCTTCAAGGTGTAAGTTACTTCGGACAAATTCGCTATATGAAGTTTCTATCGAGTTGATGATACTTACTGATAATTGTCCTACATTTCCCATACGACAAAAAATTGAATTCAGTCGATTTAAATTGTTCAAGTGGAATTGGACTCTACTTGTCCATCTAATTTCTAATGAACCTAATAAATCTTTTTGTCTTTTCGGAAATTTCGTTTGGTTGTCTATAAAACAGAAAAACTAAAAATCTGTCAACCTCTAAAGTTATAATTTGGTGCCTCATTCACTTCGGTAGACACAAAGCAGAAAATAATTTGTGAGTAGAAGGCACGTGCGGGATTGATGAGACGTCGCTTTTTCTCGCATAATCACTTTTGGCTTGAGATTTAAACTCTAAAGATTTCATTTTTGGCTGACTTTCGATGTATTTTCATGAAATTTGGAGATAACGTCCCCCAAAAAAAGGTTCCCTAACACTTCGCTCAAAAGCTCTAGTTCGGAGCGTAACCGCACAGTTGGCAGAAACTCTTTTCGAATTGGATGTGTTGACCACGTTCTCAATGAAAAACGAACGTCAAATAAACTAATCTTGTCAACAGTTCAGGCGTTTAAAAGCTCCCTTTCCGCTTAATGATAAAAATTTTAAAAGTAAATTATGTAACCCAAGTCATTAGTTTGTATGCTGTTTCCGCTCATGCGCTAATTTTCCTTCTGTGATACCTTGGAACGCCGGATGTACTCTGCTAAATAGTAGACGCGCTTACTCAGCTATTTCAATGCTTGCACAATCATTGAAAATAACCAGTCATTCTTAACTTGCTTTTTAATACTGTTATCATAAACTTTGATGAAGAGGTTGGAAGAGTGAAAACCAAACTTTTCCAGGAGGAAAAAAAATTTATCCAGTTATTTGTTACCCTTCCAGATAAAATGTAAATTTCACACTGGTCTTTTAAGAATATTGGCCCCTATGATTACAGTATGTTCTAGTGTCTTTACCTTTCTCTAACAAATGCCACCTATATATAATTTCTGCAAGTGCCATGTTTTAAGAAAATTTCCAGTAAAATGAGGGAAATCAATTCAAAATTACAATATAATGAATTGTTATGATTGGTGATACTAATACCTAATATTTCCTTACTCTAGGTTAGAGTTATTCGCATCATACTGTAGAGGGCATGCCATGTCGAAGGTTGCGACTGGCCTCCAAGATGGTGTGAAGCTACTGGAATTATTCGGAGGATCAAGGTCGTTTGGCGGGCCGACCTCAACAAAAGAGAAGCGTCAACTTTTTGAAACCTATTTTTATGCAAAACTTTAAAAAAATCTCACCTACAGAGAACAAAAGATATCCAAAGCATTGCGAACGGCCTTCTAGCAAAACAAAAACTGCTACAAATTTAATCATCACAAATCTTCAAACAGTGCACATTTCTTTTTTCCTTTTAACCAAAAAATCACAAACCCAACAACCCCGGTCGACCCATCGTTTAAGCCTGCAGTTGCCCCACCACACAGATCTCTACCTATTTATACTCTGGGAAAAGAGAAATCACATGGAGACATATCAGTCTGGCCAAAGCTTTGTAACCTTTTTTTTAACTGAATGTAAAGCTTTGTCTCTGAGCAGATCTATAGGCTTCCTGACCATGAAAAACAAACTAAGGATATGGGGATGACGACGCTTGCATAACTTACACTCTGGTGGAAGTTTTGGGTGACAGAACCGCGCGAATGAGCGGCGAAGTAACGGAGAGAATGTGAAGGAATAAACTAACGCTCGGCCGCATAAATCTTCCTTGAACGAAAAAAAACATTCAGTCACGCAAGCTATAGACATACAGAAATCCTTTTCATTTCTAGAAGTCATCATTTTAAACCCCCCCTTCCCTCTACCCGCCTCCACCACCCCCCCTTATTCCTTTCCCCACCCCCGCCCATACTAGGCACACGGCTGGAAATCATGTCCTCGCTAGCTTTGAAACAGGAAAAACCAAATATTTTTTTAAATTTTTTTCTTCACCATAGTTTTTAATATTATCTCTTCCCCTTGATAGTCTTATATCGAGCATGGTCTGCACTTCCCCCCCCCCCCCCCCTCCCCCTGCCAGAAAAGTATATATCGAGCTCAGTTGCCCGGGAACAAATATTATTCAGCTCGGTCGGACGCGAGCTCGATTTGATTCGAGCGCGATTACCAAATCGAGCTCGATTTGATTCGAGCTCGATTACAAAGGTTGTGACTCGAGCTCGGGTAGGCTTTCGAGCTCGAGTCACTTATGTCGAGCTCGGTTGCTCAGGATCCTTCTAGACGAGTTGTGACTCGAGCTCGGATAGGCTTTCGAGCTCGAGTCACCTATTTCGAGCTCGGTTGCCCAGAAACAAATATTGATCCAAAGATTCTTTGTTTGTAGCACTGACCCAGGTCCGTGGCAGATTTGAGCCACAAAGACGACAAAGTGTCTCGAGATACTGAATGTGTTCATCCATGCTGTTGGCTTGATCTGAAATTCACAATGTAGGATTATAAAGGTCCGATAAATAATTGTCCTTTTACTTTAAATTGGTCGGCCACAACGTATGGTTAAAAATTATGGTTTACACGATACTCCGATGGATCTGAACAAAGGAATCCGTCTGGTAGTTTGCACACTAACAGACTTTCAACATTCGTGCACTCGAGCAAAAACATCGTGCACTCGATTGGAATTTTGACAAATTGGAAGCAAATTTATTCTAGTTTTTTAAAAGATTTTTTTTAGGAATCGAAAAAAATGTTGCATACCTGAAAACCTCAACTAAATAGAGGTTATTCCTCGATCGAGCCCTTCGCAACATGGACCTCCACCCGACTTTTCATCTGAATTTTTCCTTCTCGTCATCGCGACCACCATCAGTTCTTTGCTTGTTGTGTGTAATTGCTTGTCTTCTTTAATTTTGCAAAGTTTCATGGGATATGGGTAAGGAACTAAGTCGCTAGGGCTCGAATAAAGTAATGAGTGAGTTTCCTCGATGTCCCACTACGACATCCATGTTGGTGACGTCATCAAGTATCCAGAAATGGTTATGGCCCGGACTGTTCAACTCTCTTTTCAAGTAGCGCAAAATTGTTCCCTTTCTCTTTTTCTTTTAACTTAGGAAGAATTTTAGGATGCGTAGGTTTGAGAATCTGTTTAAGAGAATAACAGAACTGATAACTATTACGTCAAAACAAATACTAATTTTAGT